TTCACTGTTTGGTCGAAGCCTTTCAGAGTCCCCTTAAGACACACGAGTGGACACACAGTTAGACACCAATTGAAGACACAATTATCACATTTCAATGGTATGAATGTGACACACATGACAGTAATGGTAATTACAGTCACAAAACTCATGAGTTATGAAAGGATATGGCGTCAAATGATTGACACCTAATGGTTATCTATCAGAGCTGTGTCTTAAGACTTACCACAATCTGTCGGCCATCGGCTGTGATCACCGAAACGGTGTCTGAAAAACAAATGAATGACACAAATGCATAAAAAAAACTCTTAAGACACTGTCGATTGACACTTACGGTTGACATAGGATTCCAGTGACGAAGACATTCCTCTTGGGTGTCACTAAAGCTGAGGCAGTGATCACTGAATCCAATGATCAGTTGAAGTGATAAATGTGTAAAACGTAGGGTTGCATGGAGCGTAATTTTCCGTAAATTACAGCGTAAAATTACGTAATTTTACGCGTAATTTACACTGTCAAAAATATTTTACGTAACATTCAATTACAGTAAAATTCAATTAAAGAAAAAATAAGTAGTATTGTCTGTAATTGTGTTTAAANTAAAGAAAAAATAAGTAGTATTGTCTGTAATTGTGTTTAAAAACGCCAATTGTTGTTAAATATTTGAAATAATGTTAAACAAAAGGATAATAAACGCATGGAAAAATTAATTGCCATTCATTCTATAAATAATAGTTCAAACTCAAATGATATCTATTCAAATATTTCAGATTTTGATCAGGAAAAATGATAGTTACATTGAAATTATAGTATAACTAATTATAGCTCTGATTTTGATGTCGATTCCATTGATATTCCATTTTATTAACAATTTTTGCTTATTTTTTGTTAATTACGCTAAAATGTAAAATTACGTAATTTTACGTAAAATTACGCGTAAATTTACGCCAAAAATAAATTACGCGTAATTTTGCATGGTTAGTAAAACGTTATGATTTTGTGAATAGAAAATGATTTTTCATTCAATATTACGGGTCATTCACAACAAACAGGTCTTTCACACAATCGCCCCCTTATTACACATTCATTCACTTTATGGGTAATCGATATAAATATTGACTTCTTGTGGTCATAATCTTTAAATATGTGATCCATTCGCTAATTAGTCTGTCCACACATGGATCTACTTCTATCGGTAATCACTGAGTGTCTGACCACTGCTCCCATTCCCCTCATCCTCCCCTCACTTTAAATATAACGTAATCTCAATTGAATTGAGTCTAAAAATAATGTATTTTTATAATGCGATAAGAAATACATAAATCAAATCAAAAGTAAATTAAACATTCAATTGATTGTCAAACAAATGATTAAATTTAGTACTTATTTGTGTTATCAGTGTTAATGTCAACGGACTTACTGTAAGTCTATGAGATTTATGTTACTGAGGGGGCACTGAAAGGGGCCAACAATTGCACGTATTTTATGAGCAAATGATTTGTTATTATTGTTATGTAATGAATGAATGACTAAATCGTAATAAAAATCAAATTAAAATCAAATTTATTTTTCGCATAAATTATACAAACATTTAGCAAATTATATACAAATATATGAATAGTTTTCTAAATCTATAGGCAATACACATATCGTATGGTTTGTAGTAATTAATTAAAAACGAGTTTTTGTGTGAATATTATGTAAACAAATGATTACTTAATCAGACATTTGTATTGACTGTACGTTACGTACCACTGATCGCACTCTCGCTGTCACTGCGAGTGCCTCTCACAGTGTATATCCGATACAATTAACCCACAAAAGCAGTCAACCATTCATTCGCATCACAATTGCCATCACTTGCCATACAAGCCATGGATTCGCAGATCTCTGACGAAGAGTTTCAACGATTGCAGGTATGGCTTACACATTGGGATCAGTGTTGCGGTGATGTCTTGCGGTCATGTGTTCACCCGTGAAATGGCTTTTATTTTTGACACAAACTTCTTGTTTTTTGTTTATAATTTTGTTTTGAAAACTTTTTTATAATTATTTGTAATTTTTGTTTGTTTTAAACCAAACGACAAGTTAATGATAATTGGGATCAGTTTTGCGATCACTTCTTGTGGTCTACAGTATATTCTCATATTAAATGAGTTTTATTTTGAGACAATTTTTTTGAATATTTTGTTTTAAAAACTTATTTTTAATTAAAATATTTATATTTAAATGAATTTCTAGTTTGGGATCAGTTTTGCAGTGATTTCTTGAATTAATTGTCACTTTTTCCCAAACTATAGACACATTTATTGGAGTTAAAGACCGATAACTACGCGTTGGCTGAAGAGAAACGCCGTCACCAGCAGCTGATCCATGACTTAACCAAACGGGTGGAAGAGCTCGAGAAGCAGTTATCTGTGGCCAAGACTGTCAACAAAATAAATCCGTTAT